TGCTTTACAAAAGATGTAATGGCTAACATGTGCATCACAGAAAACAAAGATGGCAAATAACATCAAATGTGAGGAACCTTTGTGGTCTGAACCATTTGTTCCTTACAGATTTTTATCATCCTTTATGGGAAGAGCATCCTTTTCAATCTGAAGATACTGGAATTGAGTCCCATGGAAAAAAAAGGGCATTTCCCAGCAAAACACCGCTTAGAGCCAGATATCACAATCATAGACTGAAAATGGAGCAATTTCAACTCTTAATCCCCTTAATGTGTGTCTTTGTGTATGCGTGAAAGAGCGTGAATTATTTATTCACAAAAAAAACCCCAAGATCCTGGTGCCTCTGAGAAAAGAAAATGGGCTTCAGTCCCTCCTCTGAGATGGTAAATAATGAAATTTAAATTAGATGCTTCATCTGTTTACACCCCCGGGAGTGAGAGAAAGCAGATCTTTAATGTGTTTGTCTGTCGGCAGGCATATCTGTCTACCATCTAAGATATTGAAATGACAGTTATATTCTACATGAAATGTTTTTTTTTTAATTAATGTGTTAAATAGCCTGCTTGCTGCACAGTGCCATTATGGTACACACATTACTTCATTATCCTGCTAGCACTACTTAACAGTGACTGCCAGGGCAAGGGCCAATTCTATGAAAGCCATAAACATGCTTTAATGGTATTTAGTGAGCAAGAAATGACCTATATCCAGGCAGCAATGTTTGAATTATTTTCACATTAGTTCTCACTAGTGTAACCTTCTGAAAACCATTTTACTTCCCCTCAGAAAAATAGAATGTGCCCTTACATTTGTGCAGTCCTTTATCTGGGCTAGTAAAAGTTTACTATGCTTAGAACGAATTCACTGAGGCACAGTATACTGTGCGATATCATCTTGTAAATCTATATTTTTCCTGAAAATATGATCTGTGTCTTTTTGGTGAGATTTAGTTTGTTAGGCTATATTCCGTTCATTTTTGTTTTTTGATTGTAATCTGTTTATTAAACCAAAGCAGCTACCTGGACTAATTCAATGCTTCTTCTACAAAGAAACGCTGTCCTGGTGTATAGTAAATACAAATTATCCTGTTATTGCCCTAGGCAACATACATAGAACTCAGTGCTTCATGTTAAACTGAGCAAGCAGTCTTTATCAATGTATAGCATGTGACTTCAATAAACCTCTGTCTCCAGTGGCCCAGATTGAGATCCATCTTAGTTCGCAATTAATTCCATGTTGTCAGTTTAGCTCTTCCTGGATATCATTCAACACTATAAAATCCCCATGCTAGGTGGCGTCTGAATTTCTTGTGTAGGCTTATTCAAATGAGAGGCCAAGGATTGATGGGCGCTGAAATTGAATCAGATCAGGACGATCACTTTGTGAAGATAAAATGTTGGTAAATCTGTGAAAATCACATTGGAGCTTTTCTATTGTCTAACAATTCTGTTGAAGGTTGGGAACTAATATATATCCAGCACGACACAAATCACAAGCAATAAATGCCAAATATACCAAATGGTTAAATGTAGTTGAGAGGACTCCATAAGTAAGCAGATCACATTTCATGATCATGGCTTAGTCAAAGAATTTAGTGTACCCTTTGTGTGTCTATTTTTCTTACTAGCCTTGCTATATTACATTTAAGAGAGATATGATAAGTTAATAAAAGACTCCAACAGATCATCTTATATACCATAAACAACATATTACAGGATTCAGAAAAAGAAGATTTAGAAAAACAACGATGTTGAATCACCTATTAAATTCTATCTGGAATATCCAACTGTGTATTTTTCACATCTCCACTTCCAGCTACAATACAGAAGAAAGACCCACCTGCTGTACCTTTCAGACATTCATCCTTTAACACCTTACAGGCATCACAGTCCTGTACTGGAGGTTCCAGTACAGGACTGTTACAGTAATTAGGAGAGGTGTTTACAGGTGTTTACTGTTACAGTAATTAGGAGAGGTGTTTCCACTACTGATAGCACAACATGCCTACAAGAGCCTGGGAGGCTGCAGTGGTCACTGTGTCAATAAGAGTGTCCTGACTGACTGATCCCACCCTGTCCTCGGTGGTACTCATCCATTTGTGTGCCATTGCCTTAGGAATGCTGGTCACAGTTGGCTAGTGACATGACCCAGGCTTGAAACCTTGATCATAGAGGTGAATCAGTGCTTGGCTGAGCACTTTTACCAGCTGAGTTACCGCTCAGGAGGCCACAGACAGAAAAGTGTACCTACACGTGTTGATCTAGATTAAGTCAGCATGCTGTTCCTGAAATGTTTCAGATTTTAGCCTTTTTTAAGGTGCAGCTGTGGAACGTTTTAGTAAATCTTTTGATCCGACATCGTTTTTGGCATTAAAATCAGAGCAAAGAGACAATGACCTAAAATGAAACGTCAAAGCTGCCCCTACGTCAAAGCTGCCCCTATCAGATTAACAGCTGGAGACTTTTTTCTTTATTTTTTTCTAGGCATTCTAAGAATGAATAATAAAAATGTAAGATGTTCTGTATTTTGGGAGCCACAGACCTCTCACTCAAAAAATTCAATCTATCCAAATACAGATTCCAACAGTAGTTCAGTATTCAATAAAAATGCTATGAAGTAATTCCTCCTACAGCAATACCATTAAAAACTCAGAGCTATTCTTGAATAATGCCTCATATGAAACTGCATATCAGTGTGAATTAGTAATGCCCTGGATTCATCAGGATCCAATATTCTCATTTTGCCTTTTCTATCAATTTTATTACTAATAAAATAGATCATTATTCTAGATTTACAGACATAGTGCTCTCTGCAATTAAATAATAATTTTGCTGCTGCAGAGGATTTGTGATGATTAAGGTAAGTAGAATGTTCCAATTTGGCCTTCAGTATGTCAATTCCAAGTGATTGTAGCCATAGCTTTTATGCTTGTATAGTTCATCATATTTACATCAGAACTTGAGCCCACATCTACAAAGATCTACAGTGTTCTGTAAAAGTGGACGATCTGATCAGTCAAACCAAGCCTTTTGTGACATTGACCTGCAGATTTCTAGGATGATCACAAACCTTTGTTATTTGACGTCCATATCCCTGTTTCGTCAGAGAGATGTCAATGCACAATTTGTTTTAGACAATTGAAACAAATGTGGTACTGTTTTTAACTGGTTCTGCTCTTATCTGTCTGACAGGCAGAACCATTCTGATTTCTCTACTGCTGTACTTAGTTCTCACCCTTTACAAGATTAGTCATCTTCAACAGCTAACCTAGCCAGTAATTTAAACACTGTATTGACTAGTACTAGTACTAGCAGTTTCCTTCAAACATTCCTTTCCATGGTATACACCTGAACCACTAACTGGTCAGCGTCTGAAGTGCTTCAGTAAGAAAAACAGCCTTTTGGTTCACACGTAAGCACTTAGGCTTATAATGAACACCTGCAAGTCTACGGTACTGCCAGATCCTCCTATATTCAGGATACAGTGAGCTCTGGACTAGGGAATCATGAAGTGCTCTTCTCTGTTATTAACAAGCTCATTATGCCCCCTGACAAATATGCTCTTTCTTCCACCCCTGTCTTATGTTTTTGCAATTCTTTCAATCCAAGATTGATGCTATAAATTGTATAAATCAATTATATAAATTTATTCAAATACATTATATAAAATTATATAAATAAATCAAGCCTTAATCTTGTTCCTGATTCAGATATTTGAGAACTATCCATTGACATTTTCTCTGTACCAGATTTCTCTGAGTTAAGCCTAGTTAATTCAGATCAATTTACACAAACTGCTAACAGCTGCAAGAAAACCTCTTGTTGCCTAGATCCCATCCCTACCTCTTTACTGGAAGCTTGCCTGTCAGACGCCTGCCTGTTAGTTGTCAACATCATCAGCAGTTCCCTTTTGATGGGTGTGGTCCCCTCTGCTTCAAACACTGCAACAATCGCAAAAGTCCAAAACTCTGCAGCTAGTGTAACAGTTCTTGGGGTTTTTGCGCTCTTGCCACTCCTGCCCTGCCCGTTCATGCCTCACTGCCTGGGCACGAACCCGGGTCTCCAGCGTCATGCAACAGGGAACTTGCCAGCTGAGCTAAATAAGAACTCCCCCAGCCCAGGTGGCTGAGATCCCTGTTATACTCAGGGGTGTATTTGTTACGCTAGACTTCTGACTCACGCGTTAGTAACATGTGACTCGTCTCTTCATTGGTTGCCCGTAAAATGACATATTCAATATAAGATCTTGTGATTGACTTTCAAGACTCTAAACCCTCATACATTTCTGAACTCCTCCATGTTTACACTCCTTCCCCTGGGCTCTATCCAGTTTAGTTCCCAGGACTAAATCTCAGGCTTTTGGTGACTGTGCCTTTTCTGTTTTGGCTCTATTATTATGGACAGCCCTTCCCCTGACTGTTCAAGAGTGAAATTCTTTGATGATCTTTTTACCAGGCCTAATCGCCCTATATAACACCTTGAATTTAGTTTTGTCACTTTGTACATCACCCAGTTTGGAAGGGTGATTTATGAATAAAAGTTATTATAAGAATTATAAAGGGTATATATGTTTGCCTTAAAATTACTTCCAATACTTTTTGAGTTGTACTATAAATATAAGAAGTGGTTGGACGTGCCTGTCGATTGTTACTGAGGCTAGCCTTAATGCTAACATGACCAGGCTCAAATTTCTGCTACTTTCAAATTAGTATATTAATTGTAAACGAGATGTATACAAAACAAATCTCGACATGCCTATTTGTACGCTTTTGAAAATCTGATATGCACAGACACTGCCACCGCCAACCCAGATGTCATTCATCAGTATAGTAACGACAGCAAGTCTAACTGACAAGGAGAGAGAAGTAAAATGTGAGAACTGCTTCCGCCCTCTCTCTCCCCTTCCTCTTTCCAGCTGGCCGCTCCGCCTCTGGCAGGTCTGCGCAGGCGCTCTACGGTCCACGCGGAAGATGATTTGTCTCTGTGGTTGTGGAGCCCTGAAAAACACGTGAGCGGTGCTACGTCATCGTAAACATCAGCGAGCAACATGGCGGCTCCGGCAGCGGGCAAGGTACAGAAAGAAAAGTACACGAAGAGATAATTTCTTACAAAATGCGCGTATTTTGAGGCCAGTGAAACAGGAGTTTTCTTCCTCGTGGACTGCATTTTACAACAGTGCGGACCTTTTAGAGCAAATAGCTTTGTGTTGTATAGTTATCCTGATGGAAGCAGAAAGAGGTGTATTGCTTTGCAATTTGGGTCCTGTGAATGCAAAAGCTTTATGATTTTTCCCTCTTGAATGCCACGAAAGCAAGTAGATGTACGACATAATACCTAGCCACCTATCTGGTTAATTGAATGTCGTATTTTAGTTACGGGCACAAAGCTTTGGGGTTACACTTTTGTAAGCATAGCTAATGCCCGAAACTGGTGTGAGAAAAAAAGAACATGTAATGTATGCTCATGTTTTTTAATTTATTACGAAAGCAAGTATATACCAACTGCACCTCTGTCGAAAACAGAAACTCACATTAGAGTTATGATTGTATTTGTTTTGCACTAATGCTGTTGGCATTTAGTAGAAAATAGAAACAAGAAAAAATAACCCGCTTATTTATGGTATGTGGAAAACGACTTCCTAAATTGCTGTTTTATACAGAATAAAAAAAATCGAAAAGCTTCATGGAATTAAGTCGGTACCCAGCATATTTACAGCAGCCATGGGGAGATAAACGGCCTGCAACTCGCTATCTAACACAACAACACGCCAGTATAAGTTAAATTAACTACTCTGAAGTGCTGAATGTCTGTTTAATCTACTCTGCTAAGTTGTCAGCCAGATGTTTGTTGTTTGCATTGCATTACAATTGCAATGGATGTAGCAAAGCCTTTATTCTGTTTTCCATTAGTCAATTTTCTTGATGTTTACAAGAAATATTGCCATATATTAACAGTGGCATGCAATATACACTTGACACCCCTTACTTGAAGAACAGGAAGTGTTGTCTGTGTTGTTGTTTTTTTGGATAACTAATCAGCAATAATAGAGTAAAACATCAAGTCAAAACAGATTCTCCTCTAAAATGTCAGCTAAAACACAATGTTTTGGAGACACCGATATCTGTATTTCTCGCACAACACATGAACCCTATCTTCATGCTTTAAACACTAAAGCATAGTGGCGTCATAAAGCTGAAGAATACACCAACAAGCATCATTATGTATTGAGAGTTTGCACAAAAATTTCAGAGAAAGAATGTGGCATTTCCCTTTTATGGAAAAGCAGATGTAACAGTTCTACCAAAAAGTTATTGGCCTAAAGGGGGTTTCGAATTGTTGTGAATTCCCCTGAGTATTCTGTTGCCATTTTCCTGTTCACTGCGATACATGCAAAATAAAGTTGGAGTCATCATGGCTATGTGTGTATAATTCGTATAATCTCTTACATGATGTGATTTGCAGGAAACATGCATCATGCAGGAGTGCTGCTGCATCAGCTCCTGGAAGCTGGGTTTGATTCTGGATTGGAGTATCTGCAATGTGGTGTTTTCATGTTCAACATGTATTTGTATGGGTTTTATCCAAGTGTTCCATATTGCTTCAAATTACTGAAGGCATTTTAGGTTAATTGGGGTCTTTAAAGTGTACTTTCTGCTTGTCTGTGCCCTAGAACAGGCTGGCTTCCCTTTCTGATTGCTGTCTTGCCTTGTGCTGTGTACCTCCATCAAAGGCTCAGTGATGCCACTGCTGACGTTGCCAATAGTGGTTAGAAACATGGTTTCTTATGTGTTTCTCATTCCTTTCTTGCAGGTTCTATATGAACAGGAAGGGATTTTTATCCACTCTGATTCAGAAAGAAATGAAGACCAAGATTCCCTGATTTCAGGATTTCTTCGAGTAACCGAAAAGGTAGATTAAGACGCATAAGTAAAAAGAGCTGAGTACAGAAACTAAAAGCTTCTCGGATATAGTTCTTTGTAAATTATAATGTTTTCTATTTCACATAATGTTTTTTTGTGAAGACATCATATTTAGAAATGATAGTTCAGTTTACAGTCTGTATACCCTGACATCCAAATCTTAAATTATTTTATAGATTAAATTTGAATTTAACAGGTTCTAAACAATCTTCATTACGTGAAAACCTTCCCATTAATTGAAATTTCATGAGCACAATGGAATTCCAGCCATTGCATGTTTTGAACTCTTAACATGATTGTCGTTTTATATTATAATTTGTGCATATGCAGTTTGCTTTATCTATTTTATTTAAAGCTTTAAATAAAAGTAGGTTATTTGGGAAGGGCTTTTCCGGTTTTAAGGTTTTGTGTTACATTGGTGGTAAAAGGAAACATTCAGAAATCACCAGCATAACTCAGACTTATTTTAAAAGTGTGGCATCTGAATAATTCTCTAGTAACCAATGTTTGAGACAAAAACGTAAATGAACAGATTATACCCATATGAGAAATAAGGCCATTAATAGTGAACAACATTTCCAGAGTAAGAAGAATGGAATTTGTTTCTGTTCCTTGGAAAAACTTTATTTATAGTGTAAATGAGAGCAGAACTGTATACTTTAAATCTCTTTCACTGTTTTATTCTGTTGTTAAGATTCTAACATTAATCATGAATAATGTATATACTATAATGTATATTATCATATGCCTTTCATCACCATTTTGCCAAGAATACACCCAAACAGTTGGAATAGTGAGAATCACTATACCACATATCGCACAGCTTTGGTGAAAATAATTTAGATACATTTGGTTTGCACAAATGTATTGATATTTATTAATAATGACAGTAACAACACATAACATACTGATGGAAAAAAGAAATGCAACACCTCCACCACACTCTGGTCCTCCCATCTGTGTGGAACAGGCTGAAGAGTGACTCATCTGTGAAGAGGACCTGATGCCACTGCTGACGAGTCCATTGCAGCCTCTGTCTGGCCCAAGCCAGTCGGGTGTGATGTCTAGGAGGTGTAAGCAGAGGGCCTCTGACAGGTCGCCTTGCTCTAAGGCCAGCAGCATGGAGCCTCACTTTCCTGTCACTGATGCGGGCATTGTGTCTGCCAGCAGTTTCAGCAGCAGTATGGGTGGCAGATCTGAAACGATCTCTCAGATGGACCAGTCTGATGTGTCGGTCCTGCTCTGGTGTGGTCACTTGAGGGCGACCGGATCTTGGACGTTCATCTGTCCTGCCAGTCTGCTGAAACCTGCTCTGCAGTCAGGACGCAGTGGAGCAACTTACTCCATAGTGTCTGGCAACGCTGGCACATGACATGCCTGCCTGCAGCATGCCAATTGCCCTCTCCCTTGCTTCTGGTGACATTTGAGGCATTATGGAATACACAGAAAACTGACTAAGTGTGGCCTTTTTCTTGCAGTGACGTAAGTTTTGAATTAAGGCCTTTTTAAAGGTGACCTGATCAGGCAGTGTTCCACCTGGACCTCGTTGGGTAAAAGCGCACCTAACAAGCTTTCGTGTGATTGGTCAGTTGCAATGCCTCACTGCACGAACATTTTGTGAAAGTACATAAGCTATAAGTATAGTATTCTCATTCCAGAAAATGATTCATTTCTTTTTTCCATCAATATATATAAAACATACAAGTTACACTAAGTACAAACTTTCATATAAGGTATCCCAGAGGCCTAACATCCAAAACACTCAGAAAAGCCTCAGACTGCTTCCAAGTATTGGACTCTTAAATAAAGAAGAAATAACCTTCTTCTAAACCAAACAGAATGTGACATGCGGTTATATTTCTCTCCCTGCAAACTTGAATGCCCTAAAATGATTGGGAACCTATCTCCCTATTCTAAAAATGCACTCTAACCAGGAGAGGAAATCGGAGTTCCCTGAAAAACAGAGGATAGCAAGCTGTTTTGACAAGGTTCAAATATATAGCTCCAATCTGGTATTTCTGGGTGATCTGGATCAAGGAGCTTTTGTCTTTGTCTTTCTCTTCCTCTACCCCTTCTCTTTTTTCCTTTCTGTCTGCCTGTTTTATGCCTGGTTTTTGGAATTTTGATTGATAAGTATTTACCTAGAAGGTAAATCAAGCTAAACTTTATGATTGCTTTGATCACTCAGTCTGTGACCCTACATCTCAGCAAACATCTCCTTGCTTTGAAGCTGAAAAGTTGACACTAGCCAGTTGTTCCTCCTAGTATCTAGATTCACTTATTCATAACTATTTTTTTCCTTTTCCCCCTAGGAGGGTGAATTAATTGTAGAATACAAGCCAATGGAAGATGCTGTTGATCCATCAAATATTCTTTGTGCTGGAAAGGTAAAGCTGATTTATGCTTGCATTGATCATTCTTTCAAAGAACAGAGCAGGTGTTCTTACTGTCAGTTGCACAGAATTAAATCATTTGAGAATACTGTATGTCTTAGTGTGAAAATGTATACAATATGCACATCACCTAGCATTCCAAGTTGTCTAACTCTTAACAATGATTCATTGTGCTTTAATTTTTTACCTACATTATGTGGAACTTTTTAATCTTAGTGTATATTGTTTCATTTCATAAGATCCTAATTACATAAAAATGATTTTCTGAGAATTGAAGTAAATATCCATCATATACTTTTAAGCTCACAACAAAGTTTTATACATATAAAGTACATGTACCAAAGCAAGAACTGTTGTAAATAGTAAATTCATTGTGACTTAGTTACACCAAAAGAAATTCATAGTAGAAAAAAACTAGATCTTCAGTCTTGTATAGCAGAGTATATCAAATTGGAATGTATTTTGTATTTAATAAATCAGAGACTGTTGAAAGTATACATAATGAGAGTTGAAAAGTATTCTAGAAATTAGTTACTAAGAGTACATGAAATAAGTGATCTCCACTGTTTCAAAAGAAACGTGTTAAGAAAGGTAAAGATATCATACCTTTAAACTCTATTGCTTGTATTAAAGCTGTTTTCAAACATTTGGTATGTGCTTAAGCAAATTCTGTTGCATTTATGCGGATCATGACTGATCCTTATATTCATTGATTTAAATTGCACTATAGCACTCTGTATATAAAGTGTACTAAAATAAAAGTCCAACATACATGTAAAATTTAAATTTGGTGTACATAGAATGTTTGCTTTTATATTTTATAACTCTCAAATGTAAAAATGTGAATATATGGTTTTCCCTTTAAACAATTTTGATCCTTGTTTTAATATTTTATTAGTTTCATTTTCTGAACTCGAGTCTTTTCTTGTTTGATAAGAAATGTAGTATTACTCAATTTCTTATTTGTACTGTGATGCCAGTGGGAGTTCAGTCATCATAGGGGACTTTAGTAGTTGGGTCTTGAGATAAAAGACCCCCAAGAGCAGTGTAATAATTAATGGTGCTTTTAAGCATGCAATTAAACAAGAAAAGAGCAAGCAGAAGTAAGCAAGCAAATAAAAGCCTAGCTTGTTGATGGAGGTCTACCTCACTTTGTCTTCTAAATAAATATCAGGGGTAGTTATTCTTTCCCCCCCAATGTGCAAAAAGAAAACATCTTGCCTTATTGTTACGAAAAAAGAAAAAAAGATCTTTACTGTAATCTGACTTTAGTTCTCATCAGGTTTCCTTTTATTTCCTTCAGTGCCTGTCTTCCTTTGTTCGTTCTTTTCCACTTCTATTTTCTCTGTGCTCTTTTCCACCTGTCTTGGTTTTGTTTTCTTGGTCTTCTTTTTCTTTTCACTCTGTCCTTTAAGGTTAGTGTTCAGTTTCTTTCATTACTATTCTATTATTATTATTCTCTCCCTACAGCTACACAGACAACCAATGTGCAATTGGCATAACCTTTTTATGCCTTTTTTTATTGTGGGTGACTCAGCAGCTCTTTTCAGTTCATAAACTTGCAGTAATAATTTCTTTCATGAGCAAGTTGAAACAAAATAAGTTTTTACTCACAAACAGGCGGAGTGTTGGTTCAGGCTTTTATTTCAGCACATAGCATATTCTTTCATCTGCTCTTGTTCATTAGGTCTGCTGTTGATTTATACTTTCTGGAACAAGACACACATCTGCCTAGTTCCAGACAAGACATCATGCTGCCATCTTACATCTTGCTTTCTATCCACGGGTGTCTTGGTACAGTCTCAAAAACGTAACATCCTTCTGCTGTCACACACCTAGGGGCATCACAGTACATACTGCAGATATCTTGTATGGATAGTATCATTTCAAAGCATATCAAAAATAATTTCACCTTTTGATTTTATTTTGTAGGATTCGAGTTCAGTAGTAGAGTGGACACAATGTCCAAAAGAAAGAATGCAGAAAAATGTGGAAAATCAACTAAGCTACGAAGCTGAGTGGGATATGGTCAACACTATTTCCTTTAAAAAGAAGCCATACACTAATGGAGAAGGTATGGAACCTGCCTCAGGATTTGCTGGTCTTGCAAAATAATTGCTTACGCAAACATTATCACTGCACACTGTATATATGAAAAATACCTAAAAGAACATGCCGTATTATTTCACTGAAATCATAAATAAATTCTTAAAATCTAAAAAAATGAGATTGGGAATAGCAGGAGGTCTGAAAATTAAGAAAGTAATCAAGTTCACCCAAATGTTTTAAAACATTGCCTATGTCATAGTATTTTATCAGAATGCAATGCAAGGTGGCGTTTTTCTTATTAATAACAGTGAAAAATAACAATAAGAAAATGTACTTTTTATAGAACATCTATGGAACCTAAGCTATCATAATGATTTTCCGTTGTACTTTGAATGTACTTTTGTATGTTTGCTCTCCATTTAAAAGAATAAAATTTGCTTTTGAGTTAGTCTGCTTTACAAAAAAAAAAGTCTTGAATGCAATCATCAGAGCTGAAACATATAAACAATGGCCACATGTGCAGTTTAGTTTTTGTGTGCTATATTATTTTGTCCTTTAAATTTGTATGGTATATCCTGTTATGACATTAAATTGGTAATTTCCAAATTGAGTACATTGTATCATGAACAAAAGATTTTACACTTATTTCTTCAAAGGTGAATGCTTTAATTCATGGTGTTATTACCACCCACTTGGTAATTACAGTGTATTGCTGTTTATTATGTTTATTACTGATTGTTTATTATGTATATGTAAATTACACCTGTAGTTTTCCATTGCATTAAGAATTATTAGATATTTTAAATTTAGGAAACTGAAAACCAGTAGTATGTTTAAAAATGATGACAGTTATTTTATACTGTTTACACATTTTGCCTTGGATTTTAAAATGTTTATACAGCAAGAGCAAAACAATACAGTTAAAGCAAATAATATTTATATAATAACACAGATATTTGCAGTTCTAATCTTGCAATAATGTTAATATAAATTATAGACATTTGTGTTGAAATTAAAACAAAAGTGTAATGAACAGAAAAGTATTTAACATTATAAACATTGCACTGGATTTCTTTTATACTGCTAATCCTAAATTAAGAAGCTCTTCAGTTTTTATATGCTAATACCTCTTTTAATCTTTAACTGTGAATCTAAACTTTTTATGATGTTACACACTTTAGGATATTACAGAGACGTATCACTGAAGTTGAAAAGACTAATTGCCTCAATTCTTTTATTGTAAAATATTCTTCCCAATCAGTCTGAAGCGGGTTATGTATATTAATCATTGCTTCCATGGTGCCAGTCGATTTCAAAGTATTAAATGTCAAGCCAGGGGAAGTAAGGGAACTTAGCATTTTATCTTTACATTGAAAATGACATTTAATAGTGCAGTTTTGTCACATTTTGTTAGGAGAATCCTTGTAAAGCCTGCATGCCCATAAACCCATTTGAATTTCTATATGTTAATAGTCTGAAGTTATAAATATGTTGTCTAGATTCATCAAGTGCTGTATCAGTCTTAGATTTTTCAAGGGTGTTTTCTTTTCAAACTTCCATTTCTCTTTTATATAATAAATTGTAGACTATTAAAATAGTTTAAAATAAGACAATTATGCTATTAGAGTAATTTATCTTGTAACATACAGATGCAGCCATTCAAAGTGCGCGGTACAGACATGTACCGGAGGTTATTGGCTACGGCGTCGCGCATTGTGACGCACGATGACGCGCGGTACCGCGGAAAGATTTACAGTAAACGTCTTTACTGTGCCCGTTGTAGTATTGAATATTTATATGGAATTTTACCACTGAAGGGAAATCTTAGTAGCTGAGCATAAAAAGAATAGGAGCATACTGTAATGCTTGTGAAGGCCATAAACGATATTAATTTTGGAACATAAACATACAGTATATGGCTGGTCTTGGTACTTTAAAGAATAAATACACACTAGTATTCCATTTCTCCCTAAACATTTTAAGCATCAAAGTCTTTAACTAACGAGATACCGGAGTCAACAAGCATACTTTTAGAATTTGATTAAAAGGGAATATAATATGGAATCCCCCATCTAAAGAAATTAATAACGAGATAATTATATTCATGTACCGGAACACAAGAATAGTACACGCTGTACATTGTGA